AGAAATCTGTAAACTTTCGGTTAGAGTTTTCCCCAGAGCTATATAAATTCCCACGGATCTAGATACGTAAATCTTGAACATAAAACAAATTCAGTTCCACGAATTGGAACTCGCACGTACGGTGCGAATCCGTGTTGCTCTATTTCTATTTCCGTGGTGCCATACATCTGTCTGATCTCATCGTAGATCCTCCCCTCTACACAGATCCTTGGATTCATAATCCCCGTGATTTATCAGACTTTTACATTTTCGTCATGTAGAATTAGGAGGGAGTATTTTCCCGCTTCGTCTTCGATGACGAATACACTTTTTTTTACTTTACCTTACGTATAGATATCTAAATAATGTATAACGTAAACGTTTATATGTACTTTAGCTTTAGCGAGGCGTTTACAAATTGTATATAAAAAGACACGATTATTAACGTTTAAGCGAGCACTAAGTATGATTTCTAATAACGTGCCACGATTTTTAATAGCTCTCCACTTTTTTTATTATTTTTTTTTCTAATTTTCCGTCTCTCTCTCTCCTCTTTTTCCCTCCTTATCTTCTTCACCTTACTTTTTTCTTTAGCAAATCGTTGCAAAACTTTGCGGAAAAGTGTAGAGCTGTTTTTGCGAAGAGGAAACAACTTTTTTAACTTAGTGAAAACTGTACATAGACGAAATGTATTGTAATTAATAATCACCGACGAGTTTTGGCGAAAAATCAAATCAACTCTGTATATTGGGTAGTCCAAAGCGTTAGCCAATTTTTATCGACTTTAGTATAGAGTTAATAGTGTAGAACAAAGAGTAAGCGTAATAAATCTATTATATTCATAGACACTGCGTCTATGTCTTTCTCTCTCCTGCTGTCTCTTTTTCTCTATATATAAAAATATATCGTGTAAAAATCTCTATAAAAACTAATGTATGTCATTCAATTTCTTCTTTTACTAAAAAAGATTAAAAATATTCAAGGTCTGATTAATTTAATTGATGGTTAATTCAATCAGCAAACTAAGTATAATCGGCAATGTGAAGTTGGTGTATCATTTTAAATATAAATTGCAAATATTAAATAATATCAACAGAAATTGATTCGATTAGTCAAAATAGATGTTAGAATCTTAATTGAAATTAAGCAGAAGAAAAATTTCACATATAAAACGACAAACAATTCGAAATTTTATCCACATTAATAAAACAGCAAATTCATTGTTGGTTAAATTAATTGGAGCTTAGTCGAAATAGCCCTAACCTCGAATACTTAATTTGCCTGTAATGAAAACCATAATATTCAAGTAGATCAATTATTTGTGTCATTGCATACTCTATTTTGATACTTTTACACCAATATTCCTCTCGCAAATTGAATTTTCGACTTTTGATTGATGTTCCAACACAATGAGCTTTTTATGGTTTGAGAAACACAAGTTTTATTTGTTACTTACCAAAAAATACAGCAAACAGGTCCATGCTAACAGGTCACTAGTCTCATCATGTGAACGAAGTGTTCCAAGAAAAATCCAAGAATCTTAAAATCTTAAATGTTGGAGTCGCGAAGAATATCGAAAATCAAACGAATCGCGAATCGTCGTGATCACAAGCATCAGTTATCACGATTATTGATTTTGTGAGGATAACTTAATTCCAAGAACCATCACAAATCACAATATTATTTGCGTGACATGGTTTATTTATTGTGTTAATTAGCGGAAAATTCACACGAATCGATTTGACAGCTGGCCTAACCTTCGTATGTTTGAATATTTCGTAAAAACTAAAAGAAAGATGGTGGCTTACTAGTAGTGCCATCTGCCCGCGAAAGTTGTAAAGCATTTGAATTTGAAAATTTATTTATTTCCAATGCTACTATAATAAATATTTCCATTATGAATCTTTTATACAATAATTAAAAAGACGTATTAAGTAAAATAAAAATTTAAAAACTTTTTAAAAATTCGACAACAACAAATTTGTATATAATTTCAATAAAATTTCTCTTTTCAAAACAACAAATAACGACAAATCGATGAATATCAAAGCAAATGAATCAAAATTTAAAATAAAAAAAAGTGTTTTTTTTTTATCTAATATTAGATCAATGTATGAATTCATACAGCAAGTATAAATAACTTAAATATATCCGTAATTTTAAATATATCCTGTATTAATAACAGAAAGTCTTAAATCAATCTTTTATCATGTACAAGTCATATTATGAAATGAAATAAATCAGCACATGTAAATCAGAAGGAGAGAAATAATAAAAATTGCGGATATATATTCATTTATTTAAAGAGATATTTTTCTTTGACAATTAATACGTTTAAGACTTTCCAATGTTGTATTATTAGAAATTGTGACGTCACTTTTTCCAAATCAAAGAGGTTTTATGTTATATATACACGTCGACGTTAGATTTCAAATTAAATATAATAAAAAATATGAAATAAATCTTTTTTCCTGGGTGAAATATTCAGCGTATGAAAAACGTTATTCTCTTAAAAAAAACATTAATAAATTTTGAAAAAAATTTCGATAAAGAATATCTAAAATAACTTGTAACGAACAGTTAAGAAATCGCTGCGCGTTAAGGCGCAGGGGTTCCAACAAACCTTCTCGTGACACGAGAGATTTGGAACTTTTATTATAACGACATTATAAATGCACAAAAACATCTTAAAAATATGTATGTATATGTAAATACGTGTATTATGGGCGTAATCAAGAAAACATATTTTATTACAGTATGGTAAGATGAAATAGAGAGTGCTACGCGCGATCGGGATTATCCTTATATATTCTACATCTTTATATATTTTCTACCTTCTTCCTTATATATTTTTTTTAATTGTTTTTTCCCCTTTACTTGTTACCTCTCTTTTTAACTTAAGAGCTAAGTGTAACGCGCTAGTCAACTGCTCGACTACGTTTCGCGATTACGCGCGTGATACGCACGCATCTGCATCCTGTTAATCAGATTAGAAAACATATCAATTAATTACAGACCGGATGTGTTTCTAAGGATCTCTTCAAATCAGCACGGAAGAAAAATAATATATACGTGAAAGATATCAGCTAATTATATGAACTAAATAAATTCATGTAGTCTAATGAAAAATAGCTGCGGTTTTCATTGCAAAGGTATTTTGCGAGATAACATAAATTTAATAATTATATTTATAATAAATTGTAATTATTTCTTATCACTACAAATGCATCACGTACGACTTCGTTCACACTTCACGATTCTAAAAGAAAAATGTCTTGCTTCCAATGAACATCTTATTTCTCTTACTAAAAATGTTATGCGCAACGAAAGATTAATGCACAGTAAAGTAATGATAATGTTAAAAATATAAATCTAATTCCCAAGTTTTTGTCTACAATTAACGGAATGATTTCGTCAATTTTTTTGTTTGCGAAAAGACTCGATGTGATTTCTCCAAATTTTCCATTCAGAATCGCAACGGACAAACGCGCGTACTCGCTGCCTCGATTCCTCCAAAATTTTGTATCAATAAAAACGCATTCTACTCCTTACCTTTCGAAAGTTTAAAGAGGTAACACCTAGAACAAGAGATCAAGAAAGAGAGACAGAAAAAAATGACAGAAGACAGAAAGCAAGAGTGAAAGAAAGGGAAAGAGACAGAGATCGACAATAGAGACGCGATCACCACTAAAGCTAATACTGCACCACGCCTCTATTGAAGAAAAAAAGCCAGCATAATTGTTATAAAATCACTGTCACTTATTTGACATTCCTCATTAAAGATTTCGCTACTTTTCGAAAATTCATTGTCAAACCAGTCCTTATCGCTAATTTATCTGTTATGTAGAAACGAAACAAACGTCGATTTTTCATTATACAAACGTATTGCCTTTGTAATCAAGTCTAAACAGTACAAAGAATTTTTTTACATAAAAATAAAAAAAAAACACGAATCGTGCGTACTAGAAAATATACTAGAAAGAATAGATTCGCGTTTATTTATTAATTAAAAAAGATTGCGTCTGATTGCGACGGATAAAATGACACCAGTTCAAATTTAGCTCTTTTACACAAATGTGTAAAAATAAAAATTATTTTTCAAATGATGATTACGAAATAATATTTTGAAAAGTACTGCTTAGAATCAAAGTTTTACAGATGATGGCGTATTTTTTCGGATTTTATAACTGTATATATATATATATATA